AGTGACACTTTTTCCCATTTAGGACCAAATTGCATTCTTCACATCTTTTCAAAATTTTAGTGAGATTAGCTAAACATGTATCAAATGAAGACCCATACACACTAAAATCATCCATAAAGACTTCCATGATAGACTCTATGATTCAGAAAAAGATACTCATCATGCAACATTGAAAAGTAGTAGGGGCATTACATAAACCAAAGGGCATCCTACGATATGCAAAAGTACCATAAGGGCATGTAAATGTTGTCTTTTCCTGATCTTCAGGGTGAATCGGAATTTGGAAAAATCCCGAGTACCCATCCAAATAGCAAAAGAACTTGTGATTAGCTAACCTTTCAAGCATTTGATAAATAAAAGGGAGAGGGAAGTGATCTTTCTTAGTGGCAATATTTAATCTACGATAATCATTGCACATACGCCACCCTGTTACCATTCTAGTGGGAATCAATTCATATTTATCATTTTTAATCACAATCATCCCACCCTTTTTAGGAATTGCCTATACGGGACTCACCCACTTTGAGTCAGAAATTGGATAGATAATACCTGCATCAAGTAATTTCATAACCTCTTTCTTGGCTACTTCTTGCATGTTAGAGTTCAACCTTCTTTGGGGTTAAATACATGGCTTGTGATTGTCCTCTAAGTGTATCCTGTGCATACAAAAATCAGGGCTAATACCCTTGAGATCATCAATATTGTAGACAGGCTAAAGTCCTAAAACCACTAACTAAAATAGATAGGGAAGTAGGGTGGAATCCACTGGGAAACAAGTCTTTCTATTCCTAAATAATTAATATAATCTTAACTATTAAGTGACCGAATTGTTATTATGTGAAAGTTAAACTAAGGGAAAATAATTAAAGTAAAGCAAATTAAATAAGGCAGAAAAACAATAAATCAAAGCCTAGGGTATAGGTTCACCAATAAATAATATTCCAGGTTAAAACAAAATAATCAATCATCAATGCATCAACTAATCAGATCATAAAGGGCTTTCGCTACGTATTACAATCACAGAATTAATCTACCGGTATTAAATCGCATCTCTCGAATCTTGACTAGCTTAACCATTTATAAATTAACCTGCCTATTGAAACTAGGCCTAAACATCAATTCTCATCTCTCGAATCTCAAATCAATATTGCATAACTCATACAATTAAACCAGGCCTAATCTAATTGCATAGAATTAAATCAATCAATAGGAAATCAACCAAAGCATTGACAATCAACAATAATAAACTACCCCTTCATATTATTTATGGATCCTCACAACCCTGGAAATAAAACTACTCACACATAATTAAATCTAAGCTAAGCAAAACAATTAAACAAGACATAATTAATCAAAGCAATTAAATTACTGAAAATAAAAGGGAAGGAAATCAATTACCAAAATAAACGGAAATGATGAATTACATAAATCAAAGGTGTAGAGAGAAAACAAGAGTATTAACCAAAGCTTAAAACTAAAATCTAGAATTTACTAATGAAAAACGTAGAACGAGAGAGAGAGTCCATAAACCCGCTTAACAAAAGCGTATTTATACCTAAGCTCAGAAACCTAAGCTTAAAATCGCTAAACATCCTTCAGAAATACGCGCCCAGTCGGGCGCCATCTCGCCCGGTTGGGTGCGCCTTTAGGCGAAGAACACTCCTCTTCTATATGCCTCGCCCGTCCGCGCGCGCCTCAAGGCGAGGGCCTACCCGGTTGAGCGAGCTCTTCGGGCAACCATGGACTTCTCAATTGGGCTATTTTCTTGGCCCAATCTGAATTTCCTCTTAGGTCTTGAAACACGGTCCATTGCCTCAAACTCTTCTTCTTCGCCGAGCCCTTAATCACCAGTTTGATTGCTCCAACGCGGCCTTGGGCTTCGGAATGTGGTCATAATAATGCGTTTCTAATCCAATGCTCGTAGTGGCTCAAATAAGTCCGAGAAAATGCTCCAAATCCGCAATTTTCTATAAAACAATACAAAATCTACGAAACCACTGGAAACGCATATTAGTAATAAATTTGGCTCCAAAGAGCCAATAATACTCCTAAATATGACAAAGGACGGGGGTAAATCTTTATATAAAATGAACATATCAACTGTACGCAATTGCCCTTTGGTGGTTTCGAAGAACCTCTAGAAGTTGGGAAGTTTGTGGGTCATCAAGTGCAATACTAATGATCACGGGGTGTAATTCCTGTTCATCAAGAAATACATATTTTAAATGAGAAGGGAGAGGTTTTACTTAAGGTTTCTTAACCTCTACAGGTTTTGATTCCTGAACTAATTTTACTACCTTCTTGCTCTCCTTAGAGTCAAGTACTTCAAGTGCGAGAGCTTTCTCTATAGCATCCACCTCACTGCTCCAAATACTAGCATCACCTGTAGTAAAATCACCACAAAGTACTTCCTCCAAGGGATCCCTCGCAAGGATATGTGGTAAGCTATCTTCGCAAATAAAATCAATCGCATCAATACTACAACAATTTTCCTCTAACATAGGACCTTTCAAAACCTTCCCTAAATTAAAAGTGATATTATCATCTCCGACAGATTGAGTTAGTTTTCCATTTTTTACATCAATAATGGCTCCTGCAGTGTGGAAGAAAAGTCAACCTAATATTATTAGAATTTGTGTATCCTCAGTCATGTCTAAAACAACAAAATCAATAGGGATAAAAAATTTACCAACTCTAACAGGAACATCCTCCAAAATACCTAAAGGGTATTTAACAGAACGGTCTGCCATTTGAAAAGTAATGTTAATAACTTGTAAATCACCCATATTAAGCTTTGAACACACAGACGATGGCATAACACTAACACTAGCACCCAAATCACATAATTCTTTATCAATGAAGACATTACCAATATGACAACGAATAGAAAAACTACCAGAATCCTTTAATTTAGATGGAGATTTATTTTGCAATAAAGCACTACATTCCTCTGTAAAAGCTACAATCTCTACCTCATAAAAGGCTTTCTTCTTAGTCAAAATATCTTTCATAAATTTAGCATATCCAAGAACTTGTGTAATTAACTCTGTGACATAAATTGTTACCTTCAAGTTTTTTACAACCTCCAAAAACTTACAAACTTCTTATCCAACTTAGTCTTCAATTGTCTATTAGGGAATGGTAGTTTGATAACTGGTTTCTGTATATCTCCACTCTTTTCTTGAGTTGTAACCTTTTCTAGATTCGTACCCTGCAATGTATCATCAGAAATGTTGATTTTACCCCGGAGCCCTGCGGGGCCAGTAACAAGATCATTTGGTATAACAGAATCAGGATTAGCAATTTTTGTTAAAACAGGTTCATCATCCTTGGGCATAAGAGGCCCATCATAGTGTGAACCACTCCTCAGAGTAATTGCATTTGCATGATCTGTAGGTTGTACTGGCTGCGATGTTTGGGCTCCCTGTTGGCGAGTTTGTAGAGTAGAGGATAATTGCGCAATTTGATTATCCATGATTTTATTGTGAGCTAAGATCGAATCAATTTGTGCATCCCTACTTTGCATGTGCTTTTGCATACTAGCTAACATCGTTCTAATTTCTTACAAGGCAGGGTCAGTACATGGAGGTGGAGTTTGTGGTTGGGTCCTTTGGTTAGGAGGTTGGTAATATTTTTGCTGTGTTTGTTGTGGTGCTTGTTGTTGTGGTTGTTGTGGAGTTGGAGGGTTTTGCACATTGGTACTCTGGTAGAAAGATATAGATGGTTCCGGAGACCAGGATTATAAGTGTTAAAGTATGGGTTATTTGCTTATAGGTTTGGAAGGCATTAATTTGCTCTACAATTCCACAATTTTCACAAAAAGCATCATTAATATTATTATTAACACCAGTAACATTAGCTACGGAAGTAGGAATATATAGCAGTACTAAGATTATCTAATTTCTGACATATAGAACTTAATTACCTTGCACAAAGGATACGGAATCGACACTATGTTTCCCTTTGTTTGCAAAACCTCTAAGGTTCCCATATTGGGAATTGTGAATTGCCATCTCTCGATAACTGTTCCTGCTACACTTAACGGATCTGTTAAGAATCCATTAAGTGGCGGTATTAAAAAAAAAATGGGTTTTAAAAGGTGGTTTAATTAAAAAAAAATATAAAAGGCAATGCTTTCCAAAAAAAGTTGTTTAAAAGGTGATTTTGGCTAATTTTTCCTATGAGTGATTATACTTAACGTTTTAAGTAGCATGCAAACAAATTTTATTTTTTTTTCACCCACTTAATTATACTCTTCTTGTACCAAAATAAGTGTTCCTTAAAGGCGGATAATGAGAATCAATCCTAGAATCACCAAGAATTGAAAAAGTTGCTCTAACCAACTTAACTATTCCTCTTAAATAAGTTTCCATTAGACCCAAAAGGGCTCACATTTTTTGTTAAATAGACACTTATTTTGAGACGGATGGATTATAAATTTTTTGAAAAAAAGGTTCTAAAGTTGTGAAAGATTTAAACTTTCATAAATTAATGGGGCAATGGACATTATGTCCCGATTGTCGAGCTATAATCTACATCTATCAATAGGTGAAAAAATATTTGATCAAAAGGATTACATACATCTGAAAGTTTCATCTTTTACGAATACCCCAAATGTTCAAAGGAGCTCCTCAAAAACAAGTTGGATTTCACATTGTTCCACAAGTTAGGGGAAATTTAGACTATAATCATGACAAAAATTGTTGTCAATGAATAAGTTTAAAGTTTAATCTGTTCTAATCATGTTAAATCAAGTCTAATAAGGGTCAATCAAATCCAATCAGATTTGCTTACAAGTTTAATGAAAGTTTAGAGATTGAGTTCGCATTGTATCAATTATCATGTAACAAACATCAAAAACCGTGTCAGATGCTTGACACTTTGACAAGGATATGAAACCTTTAACTAATAATGTTAACAATTATCATCCAGAGACCTCATGTATCTCAAATCAGAGGTTCGAAAATTTTATACAAAGAGAGGTTAATAAACGACGACATTATGTGATATACAGTCACTAATGGGTTTAACATCATTGTATGAACAGGACCTTTTTTTTTTCCTCCTTTTTCTGAAGCAATGAATGGGACCTAGTACACAAGTCAACTTGGAAAGTGATTTTGTGCTTGTAGAGTGAAGGCACACATATAAGTCTATGACATTAACGGCCCGTTTGGTTGTTGGTAGTAAATGGTGGTAATGAGAATGAATTTGTATGTAAATTTGTGAAAAAATTTCATGTTCATTCTCATGGGAATGTCATTTCATCCCAAAAGGCCCATTTTTCTTCTTAAATTTTCATTCCCACACAATATCACTCCTCAAAATGGTAATGAGTGGTAATGAAACTTGAGGGGCAAAATAATGTCCCCATGGAGAAGTTCGAGACTTGTGAGCAAATTGACTTTCCACAGAGATTTCAAGAGTTCTTCCCTATATAAGATAAATTATAAGCTCATTCCCATTCCCACTGTTTAATCCCAACAATCAAACAGGTCGTAAGGATTATGTTTCATAAAGAGGTCCTTGCCCTAGTATCTCCATGTAAAAAAAAAAAAAAAAAAAAAAAAAAAAAAAAAAAAAACTGATCCTTGACATGCCAGACAATCGGATATGTACAAACACTGGTAGGCTTGTAGCCGACAGCTATAGCATCCATACCAACATAGCATCAAAGAATACAAACCTCAATAGCATGACCAATTGTTTGTATTAATCGGTCAAAGATACTAGTTCGATCCACTTCAAACGATCTCCAATGAAGAAGGCATTTGTATATTATGCAGGCAGCTAGCTATAGGTCTGTTCCCTGCAAAACCCAGAGGCAGTGCTATACATCGAATAAGCAATTCCTGATTCTCCTGTTGTTTCTCGTTAAGGAATTTTTGTGGCTTCTCTTCTACTTCGCCTTTTCTATGATTCTTGGAGGGGCTATACAAATCCTAGAGCATTGAGAGGAAGGAAACAAATATGTAAATAAATAAAAAGAAAGAAAGAAAGAAGAATAGTGTGAAGTGTAAACATGAGGCAAAGTTAGCTGACATGAAGACTTTAAGAAGCATAACCGAAGATGTGAGTCTGGAAAATGAGCACTCTCAGATCCCCTCTTCCAGTTAACAGAATAAAGAAACAATAGTGAGCATTCAGATTTGAAACTTTTTGGAATTGATTACATTCTTACTCCATTCACCCCAAAATAAATTTTTTTTTCTTAATCATTATGGGACGCTCCAAAATAATCTTCAACTTCAGATGTGGAGAAATTTTTTCCCTCTTCATATGCACTAAGGGTTCCCACATTCTCTTACTCTTTTTTCTCACAATTCTAAAATTTTCTCTTACTACTCTCTCAAATTTATTTCAATCTCTTAAACATATTTGATAACCCTATCTCTGAGCCAAACAATAACAGGAAGATTGTATATGACAGCGGAAGATCTAACATCCATCACTGGATATACCTGAAGCATTGATCTTTGGCGACTGGACACAAACTTATTTGATGCCATTGAGACAGCTTGTTGGCGAAGAACTTGATTCTCTGATTCCAAATTCCAATCTTCTCTTCCAGCCTGAATGGGAAGGTAAAAGAATGAGAAGAAATATATATGCAGGCTGAACCCATCATTTATAAAATGCTGCCAAAGTTCATATAAACAAAACTGAGTGAAGTAAACTAGAATAGATGCACATTTTGAATATGGCAAAATAAACATGACGCTACTTGTTTCCTCGCTGGAAATATTGATTTCAGGACTCTGGAGTTGACTTTCACCTTCTTTTGATTGGCAATATGACTAATATCTTTGACCTTAAACCAAACTGACTACCAGCAAATGTGATACAAACAAAGCAATCACGCCCACAACATTGAAATCACATGTCGACTACATGAGGGCATAGATACAAAAAGAGCATTACATTTGAATAAAATGAGTCATTTACCATTAAATATATCACTCAAGAGGATGGTGGCAGTTACAAAAGCATCATGCAGCAACATAAGCCAGCCAAATAACACTGACGTGGTGGTACCTTCACCCACATCCAAAGAGGTCATGATATACACAATCTCATCTCCTAAACACTAGACTGGCATGAAGGCTCTTTCTCTGACGCTAAACAGTCCAACAGGACTTCAGTTTTTTTATAGCTTTGGGGGGGGGGGAGAAGATGAAAGGTGTAAAAATAAGGAATTATCCCTCTTGTATAACTATAATTTCTTACATCACGGACATGAGACACCAGATCTAACTACTGACCAATGGCCATAGACGAACTGATAATCCAAAGAAGTTAACAGCAACTTATCAAAAAGACAATTCTGATAATGAGCTAATTCTGTAAACAACAGCTTCTTTCATTCAAAGAAGAATTGATTGGTTTTGTTTATGGTTTACGAATTAACTAATTTTACAACTACAGATTCATAAGTCCTTACAGGTATGGCTGCGCAGAACATGAACACACCGCATTAGTTTGCTAGTTGAGAAAGAAACATCCAACAGCACATCCAAAAAAAAATCCACATTGATTGTATGACGCCCCGACTAAGCAGCCACTGCAACGTTTTCCTTTTTTTTTCACATGCTTTTGTTGGTTACTCGACTGGTGGTGTCTCTAGCTTCTTAATTCCGATGTTAGTTATCATCAACCTAGTTGACGCCTGCAAACCCATTAATATATCCTTTCTAAGAGATGAGGTGAGTTTGAGGCTCTCAAGTAATGTCATAAATATCAATTTTCAAATTTGCATTACCTATCGGACCTTTGGTTCTGTGGTAGTTCTTTCTCCACTTCATCTTAATTATGATCACCTTGGCATCTAATGTCAGCGAATAAACAACAGTAAAAATAAAGACCAAGTTGGAAGTATTCAATATCAAAATATTACTCCTAAACCTTGTCCAGGTTCAGCATTTCATGACTAACACATTTAAAAATTGGACAGTAACTACAGAAGACTCATGTTATTAGTTATCACCAATGTCTTATGCAATAGTATCCTTTATTAGACATCAATTCATCCAAATAATTTCACTTCTTAGAGAAATTTGAGGTCCAAGGCTCACTATCAATTATCATAAGCATAGAAACATAGGATAAAGACAGCTTAATAACTATTGTTTCACACTCAATAACTATAACTATGTGATGCTTTCTTAGCTTTGCTGCCTATCTCTAGTCCTGCCACCAGCCAATGTCGAGGTGGTTTATTGTGGGTTCGAAAGAAGAAGGAAATAAAAGCCAAAAGAACAGACTAACCTGAATTCGAAAACTTCAATCATTGACAAATACTAATAACTTAATAAGGAATGTCAGTTTAGCTTTGAATGTGTTTATGAACTTATAAGCTGGGCTGGTTGCAATTGCAGAATCACTTCTCTCCCTCAGATGGTCCACTGGATTTAGAAGAGATTTAGAACTACTCAGTCCAGGAAACAGATTACTTTGGCCACCTTAGCTGCCATTGTCTACTCTCTTTGGAGGAACAAGAATGATGCATTATGGAATTCAAAGTCTCAAACACAAAGATGTGCTTGTTAAATCTGTAAAAAATGTAATTAGATTAAGAGTCCTTCCACTCATAGGCAAAAAAGTTGAGCAAAGTGATAGAAACTGGTTTTACAGTTTATAGTTTTTGTATAGTTTTCTTGGCTTGTTGCCTGCAGTTTTGTGAGGGCTTGGGTTCTATGGGAGTCCTTCTGAGAAGGTTTTCCATCCCCAAACTGCTCTTTAGGTTATACATTGAGCTTTTTTGGTAATAAAATTCTTACCCTAAAAAAATATATATAGGATACGTATGTTGTCGTTGGTGGTGATGGTGGTGGTGGTTGTGGGGGGGGTGAGAAGGGCTAAGTTAAGCCATTGGATTAAAAATGAATGGCTGATATTGAATCTCATGTTTTTGAAAATAGCGATTTACATGAAAATCGCTATCTCAGATAGCGATTTCCAGAAACATGGTAAATCACAGCCATCCATTTTTAATCCAACGGTTCAAATTAGCGCTTCTCATTTCTCACCTAAGGAGCCCCTTCTCGCTGGATACGCTCCCTATGTATATATATATTCACTATAGAGATTTCCTTAGCCTTACAAAATCCTTAATTCATACTACGTATAGTTTATGACAAAAAAGAGGAAATTGGCTATCCAAATATAAGATTCTGTAGTTTTTTAGGGAAATCAGACCCTACCTAAGAACCTCCTAATCCAAAACTATAACCAACAGAAAAGTACCAAAACAACTTGATCACTTATACATAAATCTTATCTTAAAGTAGAAGTATAAAAACATATTTGTTATTTTGCATCTAACCTTCTTCCTCTCATATTATCTTTATTTATTTTTTTTAACATGCATATTATTATCTTTATTTTGCATCAATACTGACCATATGAATGCAGTTGACATAAAGACTTATAAAACTAACCTTTTCTACGGTCTATTGCAGCCGACCGAACCATGGATTGGATTATAATACGATTATATTGAAGAAGTAATTTTACAGCTGCAACTACCTGCATGATATGGAAAAAGTGAGTGAACTTAGTCTTATAAGCATAAGTAACAATTAACAAAGGACATACCTTTTCAATGTAACTAACAATATTTAACATGTGGCAAAAATAACTGAGCTGCTTGTATAAATCAACCTCTGAATAGTATTGGTAATGGTTAATGAATATTGCATTAGTAAGAATATCCTATCAGGTACCCTATTCATTGTAAAAGGATGGTGATTACCTTTCTAACAAGATGATCAAGACAGAGAGGGTAATCTAGACATATTGTTCTCCTCTCACAATCACCTATCACCTTCAAGTTAAAGCTACAGGTAGTGTATGCGGTTGTATAACTTTAGTTGACATAAGCCTTGTTAAAACCAACTAAAATCATATTACATCACAAAAACAATTTCATTCAATTAATATACATTCAAATTAATAGCCAAAATTTCAAACTCAATGAAATTACATAATGCAAATGAAAATAAGAAAAGCTTTGTAAAGGAAATTCAGCTACTACAAAACTATACAAGCACATGGTAAAAAAAAGTCATGACTAATCCAACGAAGCCACTATAAATACCCATTGAAATGATGTATATATTTAGGGGTATTATGGTTAAAAAAAAAGGAGGAAAGTTTTAACAATTCTAACCGTTCTACTCCCTCCGGTCCATATTGACTTGTGCATACACTATTCATTACGCAACCCAATGCACATTTTATATCATTATTACCTAGAATTGTATGTTTGTAAAAATTATAGCGATTACATATTAATAATGTACTCATCAAAACGAATCAAACAAGACTACACATGACTATATTCATACTTATATATTGATACATATATAGAAAATTCTAACTACATGTGAATAGTATCAAAAAATCCAAATGCACAAGTCAATATGATCCGGAGGAAGTAATAGGTAGTGGTCGCTCTCTCTACGAAGAACAGATGGCTGCAAGCTCCGCCTTCGAATCAGCAATAGCCTGCCATAGCTAAGCTCTACAGTGGTTTGCTTGATCAACCTTTCTCATGTATACGTCTAAGCACTCTTGCTCCAGCTCAAGTAACATCTTATCCCTTGTCGTTTTAGATTCACCAACCTCATCCCGTATCATCTGAATACATATAGAAAATGAAATCAATCAGACATTAGACTAAACCAATCATCCTTACATCAATGTCAACTCGATGTGAATACCAACAGGCTATATTGGTAGAAGTCTTAGAAGATGGCACCTAAGACCTGAGACTAAATCCCGTACATGCTACTTATACACCCCACTTAAATATTAAAAATTAGCTCAGTCTATATACTTGAAGTTCATATAAAGAGAATCACAGGTTGTTTCCACTTGTGTAACACACCACAAAGCGTTAACCTACACAACAATCAAGGATAGAATTAATGAAGTATCGAACCTGCATTATCACTCACGTCTGTCCAAGTCAATCACCAATGCAAAACCAGGAAACTCAAGCCATTGAGATTTTAGTGTTTTATTTTCCATCAAAGGTGGATTTTGTAGAGGCATGAAATCATACTTAATTTCATTCGACAGTAATTAATAAAACCCACTTGAATAAAGAACCTATATGAGTAACCAAAAATTATTCATATCTGATATTCCCATCTAAACTATTGAAAACTTCAATTGTACCATAAACAAGGAAAGTCATGCCATAATTAAGAATAAGTCAAATAAATCTCAAATTAATTGCATTAATTCACACTTGTAATTTCTCTTAAACAAGTATACTCAGTTGCTTTCCACCATGGAGAATCATAACAAAGACCAAACAACTGTTAAACAGCAAAAGCTTTAGCAAAATTTAATTATACACCCTATTTACAACAATTCGTTATCTAACTTAGACATAAAGACAAATACAACAACAACAACAAAGCCATATTCCCAAAATAATTTGGGGACATAAAAGACATATAATCAACTAATAACCCACATCTTTAGATTTCATTCTCACACCTAAATCAAACTCCTGATTTCCAAACATACTTTAATTGAGTGCATTTTTTGCCCCACTTAGATAAAACTTTAAATATCACTAACTTTCCAAACAGATTTAGTCAGCTAACCCTTAAAATTGGATATTTGATGTGTTAAAGCACAGATGTAGCGCCCCATGGAAATGCGACTCACCATTCTTGAAGGCCAAAACGTCAAACAAAGAATGAAAGAGCGAGACAACCATTGTGATTCCAAGAAAGTAAGGATTCCCTTCCAAGAAAACCCTCTGCAAAGAACATCAAATAGATTGTGATGAGACACAACAAGATGCAATCAAATCAAATACAAATCATAATAAACAAACTGCAAAAGACAATTTCAAAAGACTCTACTTCCTGGAGCTCCAATTAAAAAAGCATATAGACATCCATATGTAAATAGTACTACTCGCATTTGCTTTTCCCTTCAGATCAAACCCCGGATGAAGAAGTGTGGGAAGCAGCAGCTGCATCAGGTACATCCGCAAGAATAATCTGCAACGATTGTGGACGCAAAGTGCTCCTTGCTGCAGCGGCTACAGCTGATAGCACAGGATGATCATCTCTGTCACGACCATCATCATCGTCGTCACTTCCAACTGAAATGTTCAGGTTACCTATAGTGGTAGTAGCAAGAGATAGATCCTCCTCAATAATGTGCAGCACCCTCCTGATAATATTACCAACAACAAGCTGTGCAATTCAACTTAAATGAGACTTGTTAAAGACTCTCGATAAATGTAAAAGACCACCCCTCGCACCAAGGTGCAGGGAGGTGATGAAATTGAAAATCACAGAATGCACATGACCAAATAATTTACACTCAGAGTCAATTGTTTTGCTCAGCCACAACAAATACACAAGTTTTTCACCAAAAATCACCAAACTAGTTCAAAAAATTTACACTTCCATGAACACAGCACAATGAGTTAGCCTAGTTTTAGATTAACTACAGACCCAGAAAATCCTAAAAAAAAAAAAAAAAAAAAACAGTAATCCTAGATCATTGAGAAGTTAGTTCCGCAGCTTTGTTCATCATCTTCATCTTTGTCCCAAAATCTGCCAAAAATGGACCAAGACTCCAACGATGGGTTGTCTGACTTTGATGACCACATGGAAGATGTTGTGGCTTCATCCATACTCAGATCTGATGACAATTGGGCAAAACACTTGGTTAGAAAAGAGGGAGGGGAGTTATCAGATGATCAAAGAAGACTCCTAGTGTATCAACTTCTAGGCATCATCCATCACATTATCACAACACACTCAAGCATAAACTACATCCATAGTAACCTGTACATCATCAACCAACACATTCATGAAAACAAACCAGCAACAACCAAAATCCACTAACATCTATCTAATCCACTAACAGAGGAAGTAACAAATTAAGAAAGGATATTTCATTGGACTTTCTTAAAAAAGGAATGGTGAATTTGATGAGATAGATCAATTATGACCCAAATAAAATTTAAGAGGATGTCCAACATTATATAGCCCAACTCCTTATGCATCTACCTCTCCTTTATGGCTCCAAGCCTCAGTTTGGCATATGTAAGAAGAGCTGTACCAAATAAAGGCACCATTTTTTAAGGAAATCGAGCAAAAAATGTGTGCATATAGAAAGAGCCTGACCTAACCCAGAAAAAATGCAATAACAGCGCAAGCATAGTAGGATGTCAAAAACCTTAAACCCATAACGAACTTCCTTTTGCAGCCAGGAGGGACAAAAAAACCCAGCAGGCAATAGATGAAGTCCAATATCATGTCTTACAACCACTACAGATAAAAGTATCATTCTGCAACAAAGATTTCACTTAAGGCTTTTAAGCAAATTGGAGGAGAAGGCGCTGAGAAAGAGGGGTAAGGAAACATAATACAATCACCACTGTCTAAGTAGAATGGAAGATACTGCCATAAAAGATAAGTACATTGTAAGAGGAAGGGGAGCTATCTTGAACTGAACAAGTTGTACTTTAAGAGAGCTATTCACTACAATATCCTGTTCTTCAGACACCCTACAAGAAATGTTGCACTCCACCTCATCCCTCTAATCTAATGTTACAAAAACCTCCTCATACATCTAGTCTTCTAGCATTCCAATGACAAGAAAAAGATGGACTATAATCACTCCTACTAAAGAATACACAATCTTAAAATGAGGTTATTTCTTAAAATCAGAATCCACTGATCCAGTGAAAAATTCATATTTGAAACTCTTGCTAGTTGAAACTGTAGTATGAAAAGATAAACTTGAAAAAATCATACTAACTCTGTTCTGATTTAAATGCAACCAAGTGGTATATTTTGTGGGACATGTATTCCTTCGTTGCATTTATTTTGAAATCGAGGAAGAATTCAATAAACATCTAAATTTAAAAAACTAAACCACTTCAGAAAATTGGATATGCAGTTCAGGGAAGATGAGCCACCTAACTATTCCCATGAGCAAAAAGAATTTTTTCTCTGGGCAATGAGCAAAAAGAAGAACCTCACAAAAGCCTTTATTCTGCAGTTAAGGTCTAACAATGCTTTAAAGCTCTAAACAATTTTGAAGAGCTTTCAGATCCTCCAACTCACCACACATAACTCAAAAGGCATGTTCTATCAACATTTTTCTAGTATGCAAGCACCAAATCGACATAAATGTCCACTAAAATAATGCTCACCTAACTTCTAAAATCATCACTTTACCACTAAAATACACAATTCTTACCACTTCTCATCGGTTAGGAGGAAAATAATCTACATAATAATCTCGGTATTCCATAGGAACAAAGGGGGGATACAGAACAGTGTGCTTCAAATCAGAAGGCATGTAATTGTGTACTGGATGAATGTCTCCACAAATCAAATATGGACCCGGAGAGAAAGAAGAATTGATATAATATACTTCATTAACCACAACTCTCTCCCTGCAATTCAACAAAACAAATGAAATAAATAATTTTTCTATAATTATAATAAAAGTTACAAAAATAAATGTTACTTATGCAAAGTCTCTAATATTATGAGGTGAGGATCTGCGGTTGACTTCAAAGTGTTGCGCGGAATGTATGTAGCAGGGGAGAATTGAGCCAACAAAAGTGATTTCTTCAATCGGTTTATATTTGTAATCATTTTTCAGTGTGTCTATGGCAGATATGCCACCCGGAGCAAAAATCTTGTAACGGTATACATTTTGTACCCGCTCCAGCGGCTTGGGAGTCCAGTGGAAGCTTGCAGAAGTGCTTATGAAGGCACGGGAGAAAGAAGGCTGGCCTCTGGAGAGTGGCGGTGGTCCATGCATCATATGCAACTTGTAGTCGCAGTATTGCTCTATGGGTGTGTCTCCTTCCTCACGAGCATTAAACCCTTCAACAAACACCTTCGATGGAGGCAATTCACACCATCGATAAACTGGGTTGTGACAATCCTGTAGTGCTCTTTCCACCAGATTCACATTCGATGCAATACTAATGTCGACTACGTGCTGCTGTAATATAGAAATATACTCAAGTTGGTTGGTTTGTGTCTCCTCATCAGCGGCTTTATCAACAGAAGCCCATACGGTGTTACGTAACATAATTATGTTTAGACAAAAATTTGTCACAAATCAGACCAATAATCACCACGGAGCCAGGATTTTCGATAAAAAGCTTTAACTTAAAAAGCTTAACAAAAAAAAAAAAAAAAAAAAAAAAAAAAAAAAAAAACTCAAACACACAAATTGTTTAATACCTAATATTAAAATTTGACTCATTTTCATTGAGTTTTGGGTCTTTTAAACAAGAATTGTCGAAGATCGGGTTGTTTACTAGTTGCCTTGGATTTGTTTGAATTAGGTGAATCTTTTGACATTTCCTAATTAAATTGAAAAATATATATATCAATTTCCACAATCCACAATTCCACATCATTACATAATAATAAAACCTAAAATTCTAAATTTCTAATTCAATTATACATTTCAATAAATTCACAAAAACAGGAGAAAAAAATGCAATCAAAAGTTCACAAAATTAACTATACATTTCATTATTTCAATAAATTCACAAAAACAGAAGAAAAAAACAAGTAATAAACCAATTCATCAACAGATATCAATATTCAGAGATTTCAATGAGACAATAAACCAACACATTTCAAAATTTCAATAGCTCAATAGTTCAATACTTCAAATCTTCAATACCCAGAATAATTGAATAAAAGTATAAACTATAAAACAATTAAACAAGTAATAAACTAATAATTCAGAGATTAAATTCAGATTTATATACCGTGACTTGGGTCTAGCGATTTAGCGAAGTGAGGGAAGTCGAATGAAGAGCAGCGAGTCCAGCGACGAGCCTACGAACATACGAAGCAGTGAATCAACGAGGGTGAGGGTGAGGGTGAGTAAGGTGTGTGAGGTAAGGTAGGTGTTTTTTTGTTTAAGTGGTTTCGTGTGGGTGTTTTTTTTGTTGTAAGAAAAATATGTGTTTTTTTATCCTTAAACTTTCACAATTAACCTATTAGTCGCTAACTAAGGTAGGTTGGTCGCTAACCGAAGAAGCCAATTTATTAACCGCTAGAATTATGGTGTAGTCGCAAAATTGCAACTAATTTGTGACTTGCCCTTTAGTTAGTCGCAAAATTGCAACTAATTTGCGACTTGCCATTTCGTAAGTTGCAATTTTGCAACTAATTATCAACCGTGATACAGTTAGTCGCAATTTAGCAACCACTAGTCTTCATTTAGTCGCAAAATTTCAGATCTACAACAACTTTAAGGTCAGCCGCAAAAATTAGTCGCTAAAATAGCTTTTTCTTGTAGTGAGGAGTAAGAGAATTTGGATGAGTGGTTGTGTTAGTGCTAGCACTGTCAAAACGGTTTGACGGTTCGATTTCGATTCGGTTTGAAATCGGTTCAAGTGTTTCACGGGTCGATTTCAGTTCGATTCAAATTATTATCAGTACGGTTCGATTTCGATTTATTCTTAAGCGGTTTTAATTAGATTCGGGTTGTAAACGGTTTGGTGCAAACGGGTTGCGGTTTGTTAACGGTTCGGTGTGGACGGTTTTTATCCCGGTCCAAACGGTTTTGGGTTAGAAACGGTTCGATTATTTTTCGGTTCGGTTTTTTTCAATTCGGTTCGTTAACGGGTTCGGTTTTTATACGGTTTAACATTATTCGGATTGGTTCGATTTTGGGTTTTCTAAAATATGGTTCGAGTCAGATTTTGATTTCAAAAAATCGGTTTTTAATCGGTTCGGTTCTCATTTGGGTCGGTTGGTTTCAAGCTAGAATTTTTCGAGTTTCTTTTTTCAGTTGATGAAATAATTAATCATATTCTTTATTATAATTTTTGTATTGACTTTAATTTGTTTTTGAAAGATCAAAGGATGCAATCATCTATTCTAAAAATTTTGAGAATTACAATAATTGGAGTATGTTTCGGGGTTTTCTGATGTCCTGCGGGAGAGTTACAATTCCGAGACTGGAACCGGACGCCTGTACCTGCAAAATAACGGAGACTCCTGAGAGCTCCGCCTCCAACGGTCAAGTTAGTACCTGATTAAGGAGTAATTAATACGGATTTTAAAGTAATAAGATCTCTCTGGGTGAGAGTGTTCAATGTTGGTAATCTGCTTTGTTAGCGAGATTAGCCGGTTATTAGTGTCTTCCGTAACGTTTCTGTTCTGTTCCGTTCTTCAGGTGAGACTAATTTCTTGATCCCCTTTAATGAGGATTAATTAAGTATTTATAGTCTTGAGAAGCGTGCCACTCTCTAGGTTTAGGGTAAACCTAGGGCTGACCGGGCCTCTAAACAGGATTGGGCCTTGTTGGTCGGTTTTCCCATTTGGCATGGGTGGACACGTGGCGTGTCTCAATTGGTCCGTAGAGGACGTATCTGTGATTGACACGTGGCAGGCTCCTGATGGCCTACGTGAAGGACACGTGGCGGAACCTGGTTGGTCCACTTGTCAAACGGTGATTGGTGGATAAAAATCCCCTAATCATTTGCCCCTCACAGGTGGCACGTGACTGGTCACGTGTCACCTGTGACAGGTGTCGCACGGTGACAGGCGACGGCCTGCTACAGGTGTCACCTTATGAATGGCCGAGAGATTTTCCCGCCCAAATTTTGAATTTGGAAGCGACCCTTCGCCTTCTCACTTTGCCTATATAAGGAAGTGCTGACTTCGGTCATTTTCACTTTTGAGAACTTTGCGAGAACATTCGGACCCCTGAACTTGCTCTGACATTTCGGACCTTTTCTGCCTACCGCCTGTTCTGACAAGCCGACTGCACCGGATTTCCAGAACTTCATCAACCGTCACTCGTTCAGGTAACTCAGTTCTCTTACTCTTAATTTTCTTTTTATTTTTTGAAATGGCACCACGGAAGCACACGACACGACCTAAGTTAGTGATCAGCCGGTCACCGGGGACGGCTGAATCTAGGACTAGGAGTGCCGCCTGCCCTTTTCTGGACCCATCTTTGCCCTTTATACAAAGTCCGACTGTATCTGTGTCTATGCAGAACGTGATGGCCAGAACAAAAAAGACTGCTATGATCTCAAACTCGGACGACTCCTCCCAAAGGGTGCTCATTAGTGAAACATCTGACCAGGCGCCAGATGTAGAAGTGAAACGAGGCGGCTGCCAAGCCGACAGTTCTGAGAGAGGGGTCAAGGTGGTCCCTTCCCATTTGACCGTTGATATGTCTAATTTTCCTCCTTCTCCTTCTAAGGGAGAGGAGGCGGGCCCCTCTGGGAGAGGGGAGGAGTCGTCCTCTTCGGACTCGTCAGAGGACGAGTCCGAGTCCAGCTCTTCTGGCCACGCTTCTCCAGGCTCAGAAGAAAGAAACAGCCGCCTACAAGAGGCGAGGCTTTCTCATGCAGTAGAGAAGGGGGACAATTGGGCGGAGCCGTCCGCCTCTTACAGAGAGGAAAACACCCCCTACTACTGCACGGTACCCCGGGGCCGGATCGCAACCATGCAAGACAAAGTGGAGAGCTTTATAGCTAACCACAGAATGGGCCCGGAATTTTTACTGTTCGTGCCGGATCCAGAAGACACTGTCGTCTGGCCGGCTGGTACCAGCTATGATGACGGCTGCTTTGGCTGCTATGTGGCGGCCATCAAAGCTGGACTGCGCTTCCCATTACATCCGGCTGTTCAGCGGATTTTAGATGGGTATGATTTGGGGTTATGGCAGTTAGCCCCCAACTCTTGGGTAAACGTACTCGGCTATGTGGCCGGGTGCGAAATGTACGGGGTGGAGCCAAGCTTTGAGGCTTTCGCCCACATGAACTATCTCAGCCGGACCCCTAAGTCGGGAGGTACCGGCTGGTATCAATTAACAAGCCATAGGGGTTACCTCATGACGAGAGGTAAGGCGAACAAATGGAAGGATTGGCGGAACACCTTCCTTATCATCGAGGGTTCAGACACGGAGCTGAACCAACGCTTTAACAAGTGGAATAGGGATCCGCCTCTTCTCGCAGGCGGCCGTAGCATGCCACCTGTTCCCCCAAAGGCTAAAAAAGAGATCCTAGACAAAGGACTCTTCAAAGTAGAGACTAGGGTGAACTCTACTTCAGGGGTACGAGAGCAAGTACCCCTAAACTGCGTCCCGAGCTTCAAGTGGCTCTATGACGAGTACTTTTTGGCCGCCTGTGGCCTCAGCAGTCGGTGCTCTAGAGGTAGCCGGCCTGTCAAATACTCTGTTTTCACGCTTTGTTTACTTGGGACTTTTACTAACTTTGCTATTTATTTTTTGCAGCTGACGCCATGAGTAAAATAACAGCATCCAAGACTGCGGCGGCCATGTTGCGGGCCTCTCTCATGCAACAGTCTTGTACCGACTCCCCCAACAAGGGGGTACCCTTGGTAGGCTCCGAAAACTCTTCCCTCTTTTAGGAGTTGTCTTATACATATACTAACTCTTTTTATTTTCAGTCGGGCACTCCAAGAGCTTCTTCCTCGCAACAGCCGGACCCCAAGGCCCGGAGGACGACTGTTGCAAGCTCTCCTGGGTCTTCCAGGAAAACAGTGGCGGCTGAGAAGCAGCCGGCCACTTCTTCTAAAACCCCGGCGGGGCCGCCTAGAAGTATGGACTATTACTTGTAAAAACTTTTACACTTGCTTCCTTCTTGACTAGGTCTAACTTGCTTTTTTACGCTTGATGCAGCCGGCCCTCAGGGGCTTGACTTGGTTGAGGTAGCCAAGTCCATGATCAAAGTAGTTCCTCCATCTGAAAGGGAGGCGGTCAGGGGTGCCGGCACCCTTGACCTTGATGGGATTGCAGGGGTCCTTGCTGAGGTATACTTGGCATATTTTTTGAGTATTTGAATTCCAGGACGCCTGTTATCTTTTTTGTTTGGAAACTGACGCCTGTTTTTTTTTGTACTTAGGCCCTGCTCCGAGTTAACAGCCTTCGCAAGCCGCTTGATCGGAAAAACAAAGAGGTAAAGGCTGCAAAAGCTATGGCCGCCTCTAACTGTGATAAGGCAATGTTTCAAATTGCCCAAAATGAAATACTGACCATTGATATTCTTTATTATCAGGCGCAGGCTACCGCCGCTGTTCGGGCTCAGTTAGAGGCGGCCCAGAAGAAGAATGACGAGCTGGAGGCGACCATCACAAATCTTAAGGCCGAGCTGAAACCTCTTCGCCAAAAAATGTACTCTTACGAAGCCATGGAGAAATCCTTGGCCAACGTAAAAGAACGTCTGGTGAGCCAAGAGAAGAGTCTTACCCAAGAGCTCTCGGAAAAGGCCGAGCAAGAGAAGAAAGAGCTCGTCCGGGAGATGATGGAAGACTCCGCTCAAATCCAGCGCATGACCTGGGGCCGCCTGTTCCCCAATGCCGACTTTGCCTCTTGGGAAAGAACGTACCGCCAGTGTTCGGAAACATATAATCAAGAGATCCTGGCGGATGCTGAAGAAGAGGCGTTGGGAGATGCGTTGGAGGAGGAGGAAGAGCCGGTTGTGGCGCTTGTGCCACTTGGGGGTAAGGCATCAAAAGAGGATGCAGCTGAAGCCGAGTCCAGCAAGAAGAGTGCTGACCAGGCGGCAGCTGCTAATATTGAACTGCCCCCTTCTTAAGCTTAATGTATTTTTTCCACGGCCTGCGTGCCGTTTGCTTTGTATTTACCCGGCCAGGGGGCCGGGGCTTTGAATATTTTGCTGGTCTTTAATGACCGGCTTATTTTTAATCAAATTTTTGTTTTGCTTCAAATTTGTCTAAGTATTCCATATCTAATATCCCATTGTTCACTAGACCGACTGTTGTACATGGCCGAACGTTGCAGACAGGTACAAATAGTAAGTACGCCGCCTATGCCCCTGGACGACTGGTTGTCTGTTTCCAGGATAGACGATCAGTCGGCCATTTATTCAATCGGTATTCGAACTATTTAGTCTGGATCCTTTTTAGGCAGGCGTGCCTGTCTTTTTGTAATTTTAGCCAAGTAGGAAAGTGGTCTGACCAAGTAAATAGTATTACCTAGTCGCCAAGGAATTAAGTAAGTAGGATAACAAGCGGCGGGTACCGGTTGTTTCCCTTTATTGCCAATGTTGGCTTTTAACTCGTAATTTGTTAACCTAGCAAGAGTAGTGGTTGAGAGTCCCTGTTTGTTAAAATTAGGCGGACGACTCATACCTTTTAGGCTCCATACTAAGTTTGAGTGACTATTAAG